TAGCCCGTGAAGTTCTCTATCGAGTGATGTATACTAGTTGATACTTCCTGTAGGGGAAAGAGTTAGACGAATTAAATTGCCTTGGGCAATTTCGGTTAAAGCAAGAAGGTTTTAGTTTGGCGAAAGGCTTCCAGGGGCGTTGGAAAGGATTTTTATTGCCTAAAAATATGATAGGTTTAATGGGCAAGAAAAACTGCATCAGATGAGTTACTGCATAGTGGATTTGGTAGTGGGCGGATTTGTGGTCTTATCGTCCCCCGTCCTTTGATCCCAAGTTGTTAATTGTTCTTCCAGCACTAATGAGCATAAGTGAATGCGATACCAACGTCGTTTATTCATAATTTAAGTAAACAATAAACATTCAAAATATTTTTCAAAAATCCGCTGAAATATCATCTGTTTAAGTTGATTTTCATATTCTGCTATCATTCCATCATAATTTAAGGGCATCCCCTCAAAAATTATCTCTGATACCGTACATCCAATCTTGGCGAAACTTTCCATAAATGTTTGGCTTAATGAGTTACGGGTATGAAACGATTCTTTTGTCTCCAAGTCTTACCGTTCAGGAGTTTTCAAGGTCCAAAAACGACCCTGAAGGGTTTCCCAAGATTTTTTAATATACTCCAAGCTGAAGAGTTCGGGTTTGTTTTGTGTTAGGCTAGACCCCTAACTACACTGTCTGACCGGCGCCGATTTTTCAATTAAGCCTTTACCGGTTTTCCAGACCACCAACAAACTTCAAAACCCGAAAAAGCCTTCCGGATTTTCTAAAAATCCTTAATTTGATAAAAACTAAGTCCTAATTCAAAAATCATATAGTTTCAGAAGATGTAGTTTCTTTTCTTTTTTTAAATAAAATAGAATAAACTCTCTGTGACAAACCGCTATAAAAAATCTTCGAAAATACTTCAGGTGTAACTCTTATATAGAGAAAATACTGTATTAAACGCTGTATGAAATACTCAATTTTAGAACCTCTAGGAAAATGCTTGTAACTTTTCGATGCAAGGTCATACAGAGTTGTGCGAGGTCTTATTTTGATCAGAAGCGTTGCTCTACCAATCTGTGTGTTTCGAAAAATTTCAATTGCATAAATAGCCAGGAAAAAGTTATTATTTGAAGACCCGGTTTTTCGAGGCTCCTAGAAAACTTGCTCAAAATCCGTGAAAAACCACTTTTGTAACCAAAAGCGATACAGATTCTGAAAGTAGAAACTACAGGCTATCTTCCCATGTGCTTATCTCAAAACCGATGTTTTGACCGAAAATCACCATTTTGGGGGGGCCTTAATGAAAAATTGTTAGCATCATTTTGTTCATATCTTTTAATTAAACGTAAAGCTTGTCCACAATAATTTAACAGAACGTTTAAAATCTTCTCTTTTATGACAAAAAATTTTCGGCGGCGGCGAATAAAATTTTTTACATTGGCGGCGGCGGCGCGAGGCTATGAAAATTTCCCCCGCCTACGGCGGCGGCGGCGCGAGACTTTGAAAATTTTTTCCACCTTCGGCGGCGGCGTGTAAAAATTGGTTATCGGCGGCGAATCCACAGTTTTTAGTAAAACAACGTTCGCTTTCATTTGTGGCACGATCTTCGTGCACCAATTGTATTTGTACGTTGTTGTATACGAAAAGATAAAAAAGCGCTGCACGCTAGATACCTAAGCTAAGAACGTACTGCAAAAGTAGTAAGAGAACCCTTAGGTAAAGCCAAAGTAATTGGTACACCCTGTGCTGCAAACAAACAAAGAAACAATGTATTCTTTTCACATTTCAATATGAAATACATATAATATTCTATTTTGAGATTTGTTGAGAGAAGTTTGACAACTCAGCATCCTTTAGTATTTTGAATGGTATCCAAATAAAAAAAATGCTATTAGAGATTCAAATAGCGGGTTTTGTAGAGAAGGCAATTCTCTACTGATTAAGCTTAGAACGAACTCTTTGGACCGCTGGACGGTGCCTCAAAAATAACGACCAAAAGTGTCCGATTTAAAAAAAAATTTCCGCCCTCGGCGACGACAAAAGTTTAACCGCATGGCGGCGGCGGCGGCGGAAGTCACAATAATTTTTCTCCGCCATCGGCGGCGGCGGTGCGAGATTTTGAAAATTTCTTCCGCCTTCGGCGGCGGCGGCGAACCGGCGTGGCGGCGCACATCTCTGTATGTAACTAGTTATTTTCGTAGTATCAAGTTGGGGATGCCTTCAAAATTGTTACCGCTTGAAGCACTTTCTATATTTCGATACATATATTCACAGAAATGAAAAAAGAAGAGAGAGAAACAAAAGATTTTCTTCCTAAATCAAGGAAAACGGAAAAGAACGATACGATGTTGGTATATGAGATATAATAATATAAATATTTTGAATAGTTGTTATTTACTTAAATTACGTATAAACGACGTTGTATCGCATCCACTTATGCTCATTAGTGCAAGAAGAACAATTAACAACTTGGGATCAAATTTGACATCATAAAACATTTGCTAGCAATGCCTGAACAGTCTTTTTCCAAGCCCTTCCGCATGCCTGGCAAAATCGATTATGTAGTTGTGATACACTTTTTTGTTGCACCATTTTTAGGCACTAAACGTTGTTCAAAAAACTTCATACTTATAGTCTGTCTGGTTCTAGGTTTCCCGAAAAGATTGTGAAAAGAAAATAAAGCTCGAAAAATTCAATGAGGCTTTCAAACCAAGGCGGATGTTGAAACATTCAAACAGCCACTGTGTCTCGACTGAAAAATAGATCTCACAACAGAATGAGCCATTTTGTAGAGAATTGAATTCTCTATTCATTGGTATATTTTGAAAATTTTTTGAACAAAATATCTAAGTCAGAAAATTGAAATTAAAGTTTTTATATTGAACATGAATTTTTTATTTAAAAAAAAGTCAGACTCGGGATCACCATGAAAAGGTGCATCTAGTGATGTTCCCCTATCGATCGTATATCACGTTAGTGTATATAATATAGTCAAACGTTATATAAGGTTCAGGCTAGTCCACAGTGCTACATATTCTTTATTTTTTTGTGCCTGATGCACTTGTTTATGTTTTATGTTTTTTTTCCAATGTAATGGTATGGTAAATGGTGATGAAAAATTCATAATAACAGGACTCTAATTACCTTCTATTTAACAAAAACGAAAGAGCTCGTGTTTTGATACAAAAAATTAAGAAAAAAAGTCGAGTTATATAGTACTTTCAGACGGAAGAAATTCTTCATTTTTTAAGAAAAGAAAATGTGAATATCCAATGAAAGTGAGATTGGCATTAATTTTTAATAACCAATTTCTTAAAAATGTCTAAATTTAGATAGCTTTTGTTTCATACATTATTCTGAGAAGAAAAAGAGAGAGTAACCCTTCGAGCTGAGGATGTAAAAGGTCTCACCAATTTTTTGCATTTTATTTCGACAGAATGTGCTGCTATGTGATCAGTTTTTGTGACTAACGTACAGCTGCTATCTATACTTAACGACAAATATAATTCGTATAACAGTTACAAAATTCGTTGAAATTTTTGTATACGATGATTACCACTATCAGCAACGTACATATTCATTTGTGAATCAAATGTTATTGATTCTGGTATATATAACTGGTTCGCAGCATTTCCACCTTTTCCTGTAGTTCCTGCAATTGTGATACCTTCTAATGAATCTGGTGAACAAAACATTTGTATACGATAATTCAAACAATCAACAACGTATA